TACATTGGAAAAACCCTACTTCTACATCAAAAACATTGCCGCTTGCAAACGGTGGTCCCGCGGGTACCTGAATAGTTTGTAGGGTCGGCCACTTTTACACAAAAGACTTCTCGCAGTAATTTTTCGTACAGATCGAAGATATTTGGCATTCTTTCTGCTCCATGCATGAAATTCGAATACATTGGAAAAACTCTACTTCTACCTCAAAAACATTGCCGCTTGCAAACTTTGGTCCTGCGGATACCTGAATAGTTTGTAGGGTAAGTCACTTTTACACAAAAGACTTCTCGCAATAATTTTTCCTACAGATCGGAGATATTTGACATTTTATTTTTGCTCCGAGCATAAAAATCGAAGGCATTGGAAAAATTGTACTTCTGCGCCCAAAACTCTACCGCTTGCAAACTGTGGTCCCGCGGGTACCCGAATAGTTTGTAGGGTCGGCCACTTTTACACAAAAGACTTCTCGCAGTAATTTTTCCTACAGATCGAAGATTCTTTCTGCTCCATGCTGTAATTCTAATACATTGAAAAACACTTCTGCCTCAAGAACATTGCAAACTGTGGTCCCGCGGATACCTGAATAGTTTGTAGGGTCGGCCACTTTTACACAAAAGACTTCTCGCAATGAATTTTTTTGCAGATCGAAGATATTTGACATTCTATTTTTGCTCCGAGCATGAAAATCGAAGACATTTGAAACTTTTACTTCTGCGCCGAAAGTCTACCTCTTGCAAACCGTGGTCCCGCGGGTACCCGAGTAGTTTGTAAGGTCGGCCACTTTTACACAAAAGATGTCTTCTGATAATTCTTCAAACAGATCGAAGACATTAGAAATTCCATTTTCTAATCCGAGCATAAAAATCGAATACATTGAAAAAACCCTACTTCTGCCTCAAGAACATTGCAAACTGTGGTCCCGCGGATACCTAAATAGTTTGTAGGGACGCCACTTTTACACAAAAAAACTTCTCGCAGTAATTTTTCCTACAGATCGAAGATTCTTTCTGCTCCATGCTATAATTCCAATACATTGGAAAAACCCTACTTCTACATCAAAAACATTGCCGCTTGCAAACGGTGGTCCCGCGGGTACCTGAATAGTTTGTAGGGTCGGCCACTTTTACACAAAAGACTTCTCGCAGTAATTTTTCGTACAGATCG